GAAAAAGAAAAAAAATAAAATTATGCTAGTCAAGAAGGGAGAAATTTAACACCACACAGACAATGCCTTCCTTGTCTGGTTAAAATTCTTCACCAGGACAACATCTCTTCACGCACAATGAAACAAATGCAAAGAATTGCAGCTACTCTGGTGGCTTTTGCCTTAGCGTCCTTGCCTTTGCAGCTGCTGTAGTGAGATAACTTCCTGCTTTGCATAATGCTTGGTCATGCCTATGCTTTCACTGGCCTCTTTGCTGGTGGTTGCATCTGMAAATGACTATCATCAGAGTCTCTAAGTCAGTCCTCAGCACTTGTCCCAAGWGTGTCTCCTCTAAGCTTCATGCCTTCTCCAGCACAGCTGATGGGGACACTTGCAGCATCTTCAGGGACACAACCAGATGTTCCTTAGGGTCCGATGCCACATCCTTTGGTTCTGTTTCTAAAAGTCTAGAGCAAGGTGCTCAAATACCTGTTGGGAAAGTTCAGCATCTTCTGTAGCTGTCTTGTCTCTCCTCTTTTGTTTTTTTGCGGAGTAACACAAAACATTGGAGATTTTCAAGGCCTGTCATTTTGGAAGAACATGTCTGATACAATTTCTGCTGATGTGCCTTGGTCACTGTTGGTTTTCTGAATGATGCTTCAGAAAACATTCAGGTGTTCTAGTTTGGTCCCTTACATTATGACCTTTTGCATTTAGGAGTCTGCAGTCAAATCTGGCACCTCTAAAATACCTGTAATGCTAGCAGCAGTACTAGGAATTGAGGTTATCCACCTCATTTCCTGTGTAGGACTTCCGTATGAATGATACTGCCTTGGGGAAGGAAGCAGCAAAACCAGCCTTTTGAAAAGGGCTCCCAAAAGGGTTTGTTACCTATGTGTTGCTCAAGTGATCGGCATCATGACTGCATGCTTGTTCAGTGACCATGTTTGAACTAAAAATACAGGATAGAAACCATTCCACATTGTCGAACATACCAGGGTGGTGCAAGCACAAGCTATTCCACAAGCTCTTTGTTCTGCTGGCTTGTAACCATGATTAGACAGCTGTATGGGGGATATTTTTCCCTAGCATCTTTTTGGTTTTCAACAAATGTCAGATTGTCCACAGGACATGACTTTACTATGAGAGATAGCAGTAGATGTTTCCATGTTTCAAATGGATATAAGCATAGTGGGACAATGCTGAATGAGGACTTCTGCACACTTGTCCTCCAGGGAGAGTATGGGGTCTTCATTGAACAAGTGGCAAGGTTAGGCTGTGGTTTTCTTCTTTCCTTTGCAGCAAATTGTTCTGCTTAATTTGCTTTAGTTTTATGCTCCTCTGCAAATTGGAGATGAAAATTCTCAGGAACAGCAATGCCTTGAAATATGTAAGGAGTGGCATTTCAGAAGCTGAAACAACTGGTAATTGAGCTTATTTTTACTCATGATGTTTTATGTTTAGCTGGACAGATGTTTATTATGGTTTACTCTTTGCTGTCAACCACATGGGAGATTGCTTATTTTCTTATGAATTTTTTTTGAAGAATGGGGAAGGAAATCTTATCAACCTGATATAATAGGTATGTTAACCATTAAATAAAAGGAGGAAGACTATCCTTTTTGAAAATACAATAGAGTCAAGACACAAAAAGTTGGACAGGGAACAGAAGTAATAAACATGAAATGTACTGTAAATAAAAGACAAGTTCCAGTGGCAGTTGGGCTATTGAAGTCAGTGGGAGCTTTGCCATCAACTTTGGTGGGACAGGATTCACCCAAGGATGTGGCCCCTGGCCCAGGGTCCACCCTGCTAGGCTGCCTAGGTGTGTCAGGCTTCCCACCACTCTCAAAGACCTTGGCTCCAGCAGAATCATGGAGATGCCCAAAGCCTTGGGGTGAAGTCATTTGCTGCCCAGGGATTTGAGTAGCTGGGGCTTAGAGCTTGGTGTTCCTCATTGGAGAAACCAGAGCTAAAACAGGGATGAGAGCTAGGCGTGTGCAGAACAAAGCTAATCTATATTCATTTAGATTAAAGAAGCTTCCTCAGCTTGAAGGTGGTTAGGTACCATCAGGTAACATTTCTGGCATAATTGATATTGTTGTATGTTATTAGGATTGGATTATGCCGCAGGAATACTGACTGTGCATTCAAAAAAAAAGGCTCATCCTTTTCAAGTGAGGTTGGAAGTGGAACCAGCCCAGAGCAAAGGGTCACTTTCAAGTCAAGGATAAGTGTTTCAGAAAGYGAAATCACAGCTGGATGCTACTTCTAAGCAAGGGAAAAATCATTATCTCTGTCACAATCACCCTTTGATACTCTTGCAAAAGTAACAAATGATAAAGAAGGGTTTAGGCAGAGGTGTAATGRGTCTGTGCTACATCCTGCTAGACCAAAAGATTGTTCTCCTTAGAAAAATCCTGATTGTCTTCATTGAAGGTCTCTTTGTCAAGCTACAGTGAATATAATTGAAAGTGAAAGGTTGATTTGTTATGTGTTGTTTCAAAAGCAAAGAAAACTTGTAAGAAATGCATAGGATGGTGATACAGCCTGTGAGATGAGCAACTGTGCTGTGTGAGAGAGCCACAGAGTGTGGCYCCTGCATGCAGCTCCTGGTTTGTTACCTGCAGGCTGTAGGAAGTATTATACTCTCAACAGAGATGCTCAGACTTTGAGATACATTTTGGGAAGGAGGGAGTTGATATCTTGATCTGGAGATCAGCTAGAAGAGCACTGTCTGCTAGCATGAAGCCAATTGCAGGATGTTGGTCTTAATTTCTAGGTCTATMATAATTAAATAACCTCTCTTCTAAGCAAATTATCCAGAAAAAGCAGTTCTGCTTTATGTGATAGACATAGTATAGCTGTGAACAGCTGTAGACGGGCCAAGGGAGACTTGAAATGAAATTGCTTTGAAATATGTTTCTTCTGGGATACTCTTGAGTGATATATAAATTTGAAATAATTCACTAGATTTTTTTAATTAATAAATGGTATGTCCCCCTGCCTCCCTCATCTTGCTTTTCTGCATAGGAAACGTTCAGCACCTTGTAAGGTGAAACCCATTATCTCAGCAAGGTTGACGTCAACTTGGAGGTGCAAATTCTGAGGAACACATTGCATAAGTGACTGTGGTTTGGGAGGTGTGAATTGGTAGCCTCCCTAAGGGTGAAATGTCTCAGGAAAATCTCTGAGTTTCTCTGGTGGTCCCCTGTGGCTGGTACAGCTCAACCTCAGATGTCCATCGAGGCCTGACCAGGGCTCCATGCAAAGGGCACAAGAGGCCTGTCCAGCCGCACTGCATCTCTGGAGAACCCCCTGGCTCGACATTCAGCTGCTCCCTGAGCTGGGCCATTTCTGCTWCCTTTCTTTTTTCTGTCTTTATTAATAGCCTCAGCCAGGCCTTCCCTGTACTCTTCTGTATTCCTTCTAACTTCTCTGTCTAGGCCATTGAATGTCTAAACTTTGCCATAGATATTTACTTAACACAAAGTAAACAGTGTTTTAGCAGTCCTTTGGCATGTCTTGATGTTTCTGTACCTCAGAATAGAGCCATGTTTGTCCTGAAATCCAGAGTCTGGTTATGAGTCAAACTGGTCTTGCCTTTCACACTTACTTTGGAAGATAGATTCATGAACGTGTCTCCTATGTGTATGTTGTTCATAGTTGGCTGTAATTTGTGGCAGCAATTTCTTTGCTTTGTTTTGGAGGGCTTTTTTTTTTTTGTACCTTCTGTAGCATTTTTTTCTTTAGCATAGTGCTGGGATTCTCTCCATTTCCTGGAGCTTCAGGCTGAATGTAAACCAGCACCATTGCTGGGCAGAGTGGATGAGTTATCCCCGTTGCCGGGATAGTCATATGATGTAGGCATCAGTAGTATCTGTGTCGCTCTGGTGGGAGTTAAATAAAACCTAGGACTTGTTTCATCCTAGAAAGCAAAAAAATTCATAGGGGATGGGATACTCCACTACTATCTTCTTGTCTATTTAACCTAAAGTTTGGGACTGCTCTGTCCCAGCTATAGGGAGGTGGGCAGTTGTCCAGCCAAAAGCAATCCTGGCTGACATGGGTTTGGGTAATAATCAAGTGGGAAGGAGATTGTTCACTCCATCTGTCATACGAATGCACTTATGTAAAAACTTAGGTCTGTCTTCCTGCTGAAGGGAGAAGATAGTTTCCTCTCTCTGTGTGTTGGGACCTCCCATGGTTGATGAAACGAGATTTTGTAAGATTGGCCTAAAATCTGCCTTTCTTTATTTGTCTAAATCCATGTCTGTTGGGAGTATGTTTGAGAGCTGTTGGTAGGATACAATTCCTGACACAGTGGGCCTTGTAAATCCTCAGCCCTGTTCCTGCAGTTGTAATTACTTTCTTGTAGTAGGGGAGTTAGTGTAAAGCCAAGAGAAAGGGATTTAAGCCAGGACTTAAGACTGGTGTCTTGGAAAAGTGAAGAGGATTTTTGGTTTTGTAGTTGATGCTGTGGTGACAAAATTGAAGTATGGATTTAACAGTTGACTCAGTTAATWAAGTTTCTTAGCATGTATTTTCCCTCCTTTTACACTGGGTTTTAGCTGGAGCTGCTAAAGTACCAGTCTCATTGAACTGTTCTGTAAATTGCATTTAGGAGTATTTTTGCCTGCACATTATTCTCACCATAGTATTGATGTTGGTGTKCAGTGTGTACTGCTGGAAAGTGTATGCCTCAGTCCAGCATTGCATCTAAATAAGATACTCTTTTTCCTTTTCCATAATTAATGAAGAAACCTTTTTAAAGCTTTTGCTGAAGCCGAGCTTGATGGTGTGTTGTGGATACGAGGGTGGGGTTCTTGGAGCCAGAGGGTGCAGTGTGAGATGGGAGATGAGGTTGATCCATGTAGGCTGTGGGCACATAACCTGTAGATTTGTAGAGCAAAGTAGAGAAAATCTGATATCTGCGCAACACATCACCTTGTATCTGTGCAGTGATAGTGATGTAGGAGGGTATTCTGGTCTGGATAATGATGGCAACATCTTTCTTGCAGGCCCAAACAGGAAGATGGAGTGTCAGAAAATTACCAAATTTGGAAACCAGCTTCTGCGTCGGAAAAATGTGGACTGCACTCGAGAAGACAGTCGGCTCTCGCGATGCCTCAACACATTTGACTTGGTGGCTCTGGGCGTAGGTAGCACTTTGGGTGCAGGGGTCTATGTACTGGCTGGAGCTGTGGCACGGGAAAATGCAGGGCCCGCCATTGTTATCTCCTTCTTGATTGCTGCCTTGGCTTCAGTGCTGGCTGGACTCTGCTACGGAGAATTCGGTGCTCGAGTTCCTAAAACAGGATCAGCTTATCTCTACAGCTACGTGACTGTGGGTGAGCTGTGGGCCTTCATCACAGGGTGGAATCTAATCCTCTCCTACGTCATTGGTAAGTGTGGTGGGTATGCTGCAAGACCCTGGCTTTAGTTCGAGGTGACAGCCTGGTCTGTAAGGTCACACTTATTTGGGTGACTGTGTTACTGTTAAAAAATAGATGCTTCAGTCTTGCACTCACCCAGGATTTTAGGACTTATCATCAGGATGCATTTTTGGTGACTCCGGGCAGTTGGTGAGGTGAGTCGTGTGCTGCTGGCTGAAGGTTTGTCCTAATGCGGGCTTCTTGCTGCTGGGAATTCCTCTGAATCTCCACCTTATCCCTCTGGCATCCCCTGGCTGTTGCACTCTTGCTAGGGCACAAAAGAGTGTCCCCTCTGCTGGGAAAGGAGCTTCTCCCAGAAAGATGCTTTTATACGGACCATCTGTACTCACAGCTGATCAAGGATTAAATCTGGTCCCTTTGGGATCTATTTAAAGTGTCTGGAGATAAGAGTTTTGTCTTGCGAATTGCTGCAGAATTAATCTTAAGATGATCTGCAGGTTCACAGTCTCTGGAAAGTACAAACCAAATCCCTTCTTAAGCCCTTGACTCCCACTAGGAGAGGCCCTGGATCAAGCTCAGAGCATGCGCTGAACTCAGCTGATGCATTAAGACTAAGTCACACTTTGCTAATTAAGGATTCATGTCTTTTCAAGCACATTCTGGGCACGCTGCTTGTTACCACACCTCTAATTTAGGCTGCAACAGACTTGCCAGTTGAGAGTGAAAGCTTTCTAATTAAACTGAGAACCGACTGTATGCTAAATTATTAAAGGGAGTTKTTTTTTTTTTTTTTTAAATGCATTTTATGGGATCTGTAAGCATTGCCTTGGAATTTAGTTTCCATGGTGCTTGGAGACTTAAGATTGTATCAAAAACAACATAGTGGCATAGCAGCTACCTGAGATCATGCTGGCTTTCCTTTGTGTGTTACCTGAAGTATTTTTCTCCTCTTCTCCTCCTCCTTTTTAAAAATAAAGTTTAAAAAGAAGATGAAAAGCCAGAATCAATCAAACTCATCTCCTTAAGAAATCAGAGTCCTGTGGTTATTTTGTGCAAGGAGTGGATAAAAATAATTTTTGAAGAAGTAAGTATATAATTTCCTCCAGACTTCTAAAATGGACTCTGTTTAGGCTACATGTAGAAAAATTGAACAGACTTTTTGGTAATTTTTCTTCTGTTCCAGAAAGTTATTGATAAATTGTCTCCTTCGTGCCCTTCATCTGATACTGCAAATGCACAATGAAAAGTTTTGACAACTGAATATTTTACTCGGAGGATCTGGGCTCAGAGTGGTATTTCTGAGATTCTTTTTTGCTCTCTCATAATGGATTTTGAACAACTGCCTCAGTTTTTATTTCAGAGTTGACTACTCACTGTACTGTCACGAGGCAGAAAATTCTGTAAAAAATAATAGGTACTATACATGAATGTGTTCAAATGCAACTCTGTTACTTTTATTTCAGTCTTGTGTCAAGAATATGTGTTTGCAAACTGTCTTTTTCATAATTTGTGAGAAAGTGTGGCTAAGTTGGAAAAACACTGGGGGATGATAGGAGGTGTAGGAGATCTCTTTATCTTACCCAGCCTTTCTCTCAGTGCTAATTGCCTCTTCTTGTGAGCAAGGACAACTCCCAGAAGCTTCAGGGGTGTGGAGGAGAAAGATATGTTGGCTGCCACTGTAAGGCCCTGATCAACTTTCTCGATGAGACTATTGGCAGTGTTTATAATGGTTCCTGTACTCTGGTTTAGACACACAGGAGAAATACCAACCAGTTATTCTCAACAGGTCAAAACAACACAAATGTTTACTGGCAAACTTTGGAAAAATCAGGGAACTTCGGCAAAAGACTTAGTACAACATCCAATCAATAYAAAACACTTCTCACAGCATTAATTTACCTCACCGAGCTTAGCAAACTTTAAACCCATTCCATGTTAAGTTACTCAGAATGTTCCAAGAAGAGGGAATTAAAAGAACGAGTGAAAGACAGAAAAGATATAGAAAAGCACACATTGCTGGAACCCAGGAGCTGGTAACTGTGTCAGATAGAAACTCCAGGAGGAAGGTAGAGTCAAGACGTGCTGGACTTGTGCTCAGTCTTAAAAACCTCTGGGCCTTCGTGGGCCCTCCCTCCAAGTGGGTCTTCTTGTCAACTCAGAAGCTGGGTTAGGTGGAGTGGGGCSCTGCTCTTGCTGATTGGCACCACTGTGGGGCTGGAATACAGGCTTTGGGGCAAGGCTTGACCTGCTCACTTTCACACACACACAGGCATCCCAAAATGTCTTGACATATCAGTCCTTTCAGTCTCTAAAAGGCACATGCTGCACTTCAGAGCCAGGGCTTGAGGGGGGTAGAAAACCAATTTTTTTCTTAATCTTGCTGAGGAAATTCCAAGCAATGCATCAAAAATGAGCTTGGATCTCTAAGGGGCTAGACCAACTTGGTGTCTTCATGCTGAGGTTCTCAGAGATCTGTTCATAAAATATTGTGAAGGTGGAAAAAGAAATCCTGGGGTCCCAGGAAATGGGGCCAGTAGCCTTTAATTAACTGAAGTGACTTTGCTTAGGGGGAAGGCTTGTGTGGAGTCTTGGAAGTGGGTGATGAGAAAAAAACAGGCATGCAACTGAGCAGTTACAGTCTAGAAAGGAGGATGGTGTCCAGGACCAGGATCTGATGTGAACTTTTTTCTGGGATGATGGGGGTTTAGGGAGCTGTGCCAGATTGTGGGATGCTTTTCAGGAACTAGAAATTGCTGGGATCTGGTAGTATGATGAGTAACACCATCTCTGGTGAGTGGCTGCTGCCTGGGTTTCCTGTCACTTTGTGACCTCCTTGCCTGTGCCTGTTCTTTCAGGGAGTCCAGCACCTGAGCTCTGCAGTTCTCCTGGGAGCTGTGTGCTGCAGGCATGAGCCAAATCCAATCTGATGAGGCTGTGTTGACCCAGAGCTAGTAAATCTTCCTGGGTACGAGCTGAATGTCTTCACACTGTGCTCTCTAATAAAGCAAGATATTATCCAGATGTCTGTGTTATTGAAAGAATGTCAGACTGCCCCTGCTCCCTCCAGCCTACTGGTTACAGAGGGTTTTGGACAAATGGCTGAATAGTTATGTGGAACTGTCATCCAAGCAGCTGTCATCTAATATAACACATGCAGGAGCTGGGTGTTCCCATCCTAGAACATGAAATATTAGACCTAGGACAAAAAAAAAATAGTAAAAAATTAATAAAATAGTCCTTTTCCTCAAATCATGCCAAAGCTAAGCTGAAAAGTTGTAATGTAATATGCAAAAATTTTTGCAATTTCTCAAGATTAAATTGATGGCAGTGATGTCCAAACTCTTTGAAGGTGTTCACACTGCACTTTTCTGTCTTGATGAACAGAAGAGTCTCCAAACAGATCTGTTCTGCAGCTTAATTTTTATACTCTTGCAAAGCTGTATTGGGCAGGTGAGTTTTCTCAGCTGTGCTGCAGGTGCTGCCCAGTGCTGCTGCAGAGGACGTGGCTGTAGGTGAGCATAGACATTGTTTAACAGGATTGCAGGTGCTGGAGTTGGGAGCTGAACACCCACTCACAGGTGAGTGTGGCAGGACAAGCTGTTCTGGGTGGAAAGGGGCCCCTGATGGTATCCCCTGAGGAACCACTCTGCAAGCCAAAACCAAGCAAACCTCTTTTCTTAACTAGGCAATTATGTACGGTAGTAATTATAACATGCAATTAGATGCTGTTATATATAGTGTACTGTAAAGACATTGGGAGTGTAACAGTGTGTAACACTTTAATATAGGAGAGGGGAAAGTTGGCTTTTACCCAAACCTACTTATTTTACAAAATGCTGYGACTGTCTGGTGGTAGCTCTTCATGGTTACTCTTTCAGTTCTSTAAAACCCCCAATTTGCTTGTCCTGTGACCCCAGGTTCAGTCCTCACCCAGCAGGCTGCGCTCGAGCCACAGCAAACAGCGGCCCCAATGGGCAAAGCCCAAGCACTTGCTGCAGGCTGGAGCTGTGCCACTTGCTGGGGTGGCACCAGCATCCTACAACAGGCTGATTATGCTCAGTTAACATGTAAATTGTATCTGAGTCTTTTGCCTGCTTGGGTGCTCTGGCACTGGAGGTCAGAGCAGACCTGAGTGCTGAGCTGAGTAAGTGGTGTGGTCCAGCACCATTGGAGGGCAGCTGGCTGCTGTAAGGTCCCTCTGCCTGGGCTGCAGCCACCCCTCTGGAGCTGCCAGGGACTTCTGCCAGCATTACATTCGGACCTGTTTSGTAACAGAAATTACCAGGTTTGGAGGAAGGTCAGACTGTTGGGGGTGTAAGGAAAAGGTCAGTCTGGGCAGTAACTAAGGCGAAGTTGAGATTTGCAAAGCCAGACTAAAGGATTTTTCTCATCTTGTCCGCTCAGCATAAGTCTGATGCCCTGTSTGTGTTAACAACAGAGCAGATACATGAACACAGGCTATGGGCTGAGTATGGAGAAGAAAGGCTACTYCCAACATCTTGGGGAACTTGCATGGTTGCTTTGAGGCCCTCCATACTGAAAAAATGTTGTAAGGTTTCCCTGGTTTGGAACATGCRTCAGCCACAAAGGGTGATCTTTGTCCTTTTTTTCCTCTGGCAGGAACCTCAAGTGTGGCCAGAGCCTGGAGTGCGACGTTTGATGAAATCATAGGGCAGCACATTGAAAAATTTTGTAAAAAATACATGACGATGGAGGCTCCTGGAGTGCTAGCAAAATACCCAGACATCTTTGCCGTGGTGATTATTGTCATCCTAACAGGTGAAGCATGGAGGGATTTATGGGCCATACACCTCCTTCTGTGATTTCATTGTTTGCTTTTGGAATGAGCGTGAAGTCCCGATTTATTTTGGACAACATATTAAAGACTCTTTCTTTGCTCCAAGTGTTGGAGTGACCTATATGGCTGCTGTGGAGTTAGCACAGGGCATAGCCTGTTTACAAGGTTTTTAATTAGAGGGAACATTCTCGATAYTTTTTGAGCCACTTTTAAAACCTTCAATCAAATTTTATATAAGGAGGAAAAGAAAAGATGACTTGTTATCCTCAATCAGGTATGGAAGTTTAATCGTTTCCTCCACAAATCCTATTACACAGGAATTTCATGCAGTTGGTCTATCAGCCTTATTCCCTCTTTGATAATCTGCCGGTTTTTCATGCCTTGAGCTAGGAAAGTGAGGAAAAGAAAGAAAGAGGACTTGGTTACAGYCTCATGTACTACTGTTTTGTTTGTTTTTTTAAAAATATATGTGGGCTTCAGTTTTCAGAAGTGAATACAAGACTCCAGAGAAATAAATGATTCACAGAGAGTCAGCACCTATTTTTTTTCCTAAAAATGTCCTGAGGCTTTGATCAAAAATTGGAAAAGTTTTAACAACTTGCAAGATCAAATACCTTCTGAATGCTTACCTCTACTCCARCTGAATCTGGCAAAGCATTACCAAGTTTAGGCAAATTAAAAAAAAACAAAACGTTTCTGTGCTCCTCTGTGGTTTTTTGTGCTTCTCTGCAGTGTCTCAGTAGCAAGGTTATCCTGACATTTCCCACTCTGGTGGGAATGGCCTTCTCACAGTGTGAACTGTGCTCACAAGGACAGGCCTCATAAGCAAGGGACACTTGGGTATGCAGTGGCATTTGGGTTTGCAGTCCAGGACTGCGTTGAGGGCTGCTGAAGTCAATAGTTGCCCTCTGTTTCCAGGATTACATCTGAATGGGAGAGAAGATTTTCATCTTTGTTCATTTGTATAGAATAAGAATTGCTTTAATTTCAAATCAGAATCTGGTCTTTCACCTCAKATACAATTTACATAATTTAGAACTGCTTGCTTTAGTACTACTGAGGTATAAAAATAAAAAGGTTACTTTGTAATAAGGTGGCTTTATGCTCATGCATGAAGCAAATTCCATGGTTTTTAATAAAAAAACCAAACCACTCTTTCCTAAAGAAAAGCTGCTGAATGAGCAGCTTTAGTCCCAAATATAATCACCACAAGTTTATTTCTGCTTGCCCTGTCTTGAGCTTCAGATTCTTAAAAGTACTTTGCAAGTTTTTGTGGGCTGGTATGCAGTCTTATCAAATGCTTCTCTGATATGGCTGTCTGAGCTTCTTTCCTATTTTAAAAGAAGGAAAGGTGAGTACACAGGATGCTCCTCTGTCTTTGAAGTCCCTTGGAGTAAAGTAAAAGAACACTGTGTTGTACTTCTCTTCTCCCTCAGACTGGGATGAAGTTTTTTTACTTCTCCCTCAGCCTTTGATTTGGGTTAAAGGTTTCAGTTTTTAAAAATCAGGCACCTGAAGAGGAAGTCAAGMGAAATTTTCGACCTGAGAAGCCAAGCTATGCCTCAGTGAGATTCTGTTCCCCAAGGCCTGTGGCCATGCTCTTCAGAAAGATGATCTAAAGTCCAAGTGGAAGTCCTATTCTCACTGAACTCACTGGCAAAGCTATTCCTGATTTACTTGGGAGCAGGATTCCCAAGATACCGCCTTCTTCTTTGTATTCAGCACTAGAGGTAGCTAATAGAAGTGGAATCCTCCTGGATTTCGTCCCTGCTCATGTTTCCACTTGTTTCTAAGAAAAATGGAATGTTGTTCATAATTTCTGCATTTGCCCAAGGCCTCTAACACAATGTTGCTTTCTGAAAACACACCTGGTGTGCTTTCTCCAGGTCTCTGTATGAAATCTGAGGCTGTGGAAGTAGTTTAGGTATGTTAGCAAAACATTCTACCATRCACACAGTCCATGTGGGCATGCTGGGTGGGAAGGTGTGTCACATTCCACAGCAGTAATGTCTGTGCTGGAGTTATCATCCTACTTCTGGGTGAGTTAATCCTGAGCTACTTGGCTTTGTGTAGAACCAAGATGTGATAATTTGGGCAAAGCACAGCATGAGCAGAGCTGAGCTACGTCTGCGAGTTCCCAGCGCCTGCTGCTGGTGGTGAAACCCCTGACCTATGCTATTTTTCCCCTAGGGCTTTTAGCTTTTGGCGTGAAAGAATCTGCCCTGGTGAACAAAGTGTTCACCTGCATMAACGTCCTTGTCCTTGGCTTTGTTGTGATCTCCGGCTTCGTGAAAGGATCTGTTAAAAACTGGAATCTGACCGAACAGGACATTTACAACACCAGCCACATTTCCAAAGACAAGTAGGTTGAATGTTTTCTTTTCATCTCAGAAGCTGGTGCATCTTCAACARCAAGTTTAAATGGGGGGTTGTGGAGTGAGTTAGAAAACCAGTGTAATGGGATGGCTTTGCCAGATACCTTGGAGGCAAAGCTGGTGCGTGTTTGCTGAAAGCAGGCTGTGCTGATGGGCTGAAAATGCTAGGAGTAGGCTGTATCAATGTGGGCCCTGCTGCAGGACCAGCCATTTCTAGCCTCATGACCAGTATGCATCCAAGGTTGAGAGAAAAGAGCTCTTTAGATCATGTCCTGCTCAAGGCTATACYAGGCTGGCTCTGGTGCCTGTATGAAGCCATGTCCAAATATAGCTGTGTACTTTCTTTGAAGTCTTGGGCAATATCGTTGGGGCATTGTTGCACCTTTTAGAGACYTTGTCGCAAATGCCTCAATAAAACAAACGCAAGTTGCAGATTATTTTAATGCATTGCAACAACCATATCCTAAATATCTTTCAGTGATAGTTTGCTGCTTTACCAAAATTCTGTCATCCTATACAAGAGCAAAATTAAGGAGTTTACAAGGCTTACTCTTACTCTTACTAGTAAGACAAAGCTATTAATTTTTGTTTGAGACTGTACAACACAGAGTGAGGGCCTTTAAATATCTCCACATATATTAGCTCAGTCCTGGTTTGATACTTAAACCCTTTATGCTGGCCAGTTGGTGAGATTCATAAATGTTGTGTGGGTCAAATTTATCTTGTGTAAAAGCTGCTTCTTGAACCTCTTTTCAAAATTCAACCCACTGCAAACAAATTGCTTGYATAGGACAGCTGTCCACTCTCCTTCCCTGATGCTCTTCCCCTGCAAGGAGCAATTAGTGCAAAAGTTTCAAAGTGTAGCTGCATCTCTTTGACCTGTAGGAATTACTATTTTTGTAGAATCTGTCTGGGGTTTACTTTTTCATTATTTCCAGAGTAATCTACATTTGAATTGTGCTATTTCTGTAGGCCAGTTTTCATCTAAGTCTCAACAGAGCTGTAAGAGAGTTCAGATGCTTATRCGTGAGAAGACTTGCAGATTTGGGATTTACTTTTGTTCAGCTGCCTGAATTCATCTTTACAAAGGCTTTTCACTGGAAAAGTGACCTAAGTCACTTGAACTGAAGGGTATGCTCATTATATGTCACTCAATACAAGGCACATGGCTTTGGGGTCCCAAACCAGAGTGCACTGGGATAAGCCTATGTCTGTTGGTTGACTTAAATGAACTTTGGTTAAAGCTCAGCAAAACATCTGGAGTGTCAGGGGGTGCAGGGTCCACTTCTCCCTCACAGTTGCAAGCATGGTTTGAATATGAGCTTGGCACCAGGAATTTGGGAGTTGAGAATGAGAAGATGGGGTGGATTTTAAATAGTCATGGCACCCTGCACTCCTCTTTCATGTCTTCTCACCTRCACTTTATCTGAATCCATCTGAAGTAAAAAGTGGATGGTTTACATGTTTCTCAGTCTTCAGCTTTTCCAAAAGCTTCTGTTTAAATTAATTTGTGTATCTACACACATGCAGTAATGTTAGGAGAGGATTTTTAATATTCATGCTATTTTTTCCTTGTCTTAACCAAGATTTTTATCCAYCCCACAAAACAGGTGGTGGGGACAAACCATGAACCATTTTTATTCTGYGCATTCCCCAGGCTGTTGTAGGCAAGTCCAAAGCTCAGCAATAGGGCTGAGTGGTAGGGTAGGGCTTAGCATTTTGCCTGGTATTTRTTTGTATGCTAGCATATGAAAGGGAGAGCTTGCTTCTTCAAACTTTGGCTTTCGATTTTTTTATGAGCTATGTGAATAGCTTTGTGACTCCCACCTAGGCAGGATCACTTCTAATCCAGTGCCATGCCTTTCAGTCAAACRCAGGAAGAACAGCTCTACGGTGTTGGAGGGTTTATGCCCTATGGATGGAAAGGAGTCCTCTCAGGGGCAGCCACGTGTTTTTATGCTTTTGTGGGATTTGACTGTATTGCTACTACAGGTAAGAGGGAAAATGTCTTCATTCTGGTTAAGAGTGGCTGCCAGTAGTTTGACTTTCAGTAATGTTGCAGAGCACAGATAACAGAATTCAGGGTGCCGCATTTGTTGTCCCTCTGAATCTCAGCTCAAAACAGACTTTTGGTTCAGCTGCTCCTAATAATGAAAGTGCTGAATTTGTTCGAGTCCCTGTGTGCCCAAGTACTGACTTCTAGCTGCTGTGGCATGCAGATAGACCATACAGCCCGTGAGCTTCCTCCCTTCTTTGCCTGCAGGACCCAAACTTGTGGATGGTCAGTGATGACACTAACCAGTTCAGACTCCTCAGAAAATAAGTCCAGGTTTACCAGCTAGGCAAACAGGGAAGGCCCAGGTTCAGCTGTCTGGTATGAGATTGAGTCTCTAACTCCAGATGATTCTTTAATCATCTGGTTATTCTGGAASAGAGCTCTTCAGTTCCTTCAGCTGAAGAAGCTCTGATGGCTTGGAGYATTTTAAAGAGCCAGAGAAAGAATAAGCCTCTGGGGAGTAATCTGCATCCTAAAGCTGTTCCTTAGAATCWAGAGGAGTTTTTACCTCTAAAGGTTAAGTGGTCTCATTTTGAGAGAGAAGCCATTAGCATAGTCATATTTCTTGTAGCTAAGAAGAATCAATTCGCTGAAGAAAGGATATCCTTAATTTTGCATTTGGCAAGAACTGTTGGAGCAAGGGAGAAGGAAATCATCACAGACAGATAAAGCATTACTGCATCTTGTTCCAGACAAAGAGTTTGAGAAGTGCTGGCTCCATTACTCCTGCCAGCCCTGGAGCATCTCCTTGTAGGAGAATCACATTCTTCTGCTTTTGACTTGTAGGTATATGAATCTGCATTTATCAGTTCATCCTGCTGAAATGCTGTGCTCAGGAGCTGTTACTTTCAGAGCAGTTTCGTAGCAAGGCGCAAATCTGTTYTGTAATGGAGCAGTGCCTGAATTTTGAGGAACTTTAGTTTTTCACACACATTTTTTCCTACTTGGTTGTTGAAAATTTTCCATAAAAACTAGAGGGTGTCCTTTTTTTAAGATACATTTTCAAAGATCCCTATGACTTTCAGGCACTTTGTCTTTTTCTGGAATGGACACCTATGGTGCCATGATCATGGTGTATTAGTTCTGGTGGAGATGATATTAAAATGGATTCTCCCTACAACTGCACAATAATGCCTTGTTCCTTCATCTCTGGTCATTGCACTCTTCTTGGGTCTGTACCATCAGTAGGATAGAAGGAGTATAGAAGGATGATCTATTTTGGGGAAAGGACTATTTTTCATCCAAATTGTTTCTGTGCCTGCRTTTGCAAGGCTACACAAATGTGTGTCAGAAGGAGTGAGAGGAGCAGCAGAAATGGGAGCAAACCAGCTGTGGTGTGCCAAGTGGATGGAGCAGGCCTTTGGCAGCATTATGGTCAAAGAGCACCTCCGTGCCCGTGAAACCTTTGAAAGCCCCTGCCAGCATGCCTGCCCTAGGTTGGATTAAAGTTCTTGCTTGTCATTTAGATGATATTTAAATTTCTTTCTTCTAGGCGAGGAGGTAAAAAACCCTCAGAAGGCTATTCCTATTGGAATTGTGGCATCTCTGCTCATCTGCTTTGTGGCTTATTTTGGTGTGTCGGCTGCCCTGACACTCATGATGCCTTACTACCAGCTGGATACCAATAGCCCTTTACCCAATGCCTTTAAATATGTGGGTTGGGATGGAGCCAATTATGCAGTGGCTGTCGGTTCATTGTGTGCACTTTCTACAAGGTAAGACACTGCTCTTCCTTTTCACATCTCTCTGGGCAAACATGTATTTCCATCTCCTTTAAAAAATKGAGCTGAGAACAGGGCTGAAATTCAGAACCACTGACTTCAAAAGGACCAGGATTTCACACTGTTATAGATACCAGAGAAGCAGGTGACCAGTATCACTTCAGAAACTCCCATCTTAGCAGGAGACCCAGCAGATGCATCTCAGGAATGTAAATCTGGATTGAGTGACTAAGTGATGGAGGCAGCTATGCAATGTGAGCACCGTTTGGGTGCAAGACATCCTGGCCTGCTGAGTGGAGAGCAGACTTGTACTGCAGGGTGCATCATGAGGAGCTCATGGGGCTTACTATATCCAGGGCCATCTAKCTGCAGGTTAGCTGCAGGACAGCCATCTGGATTGGAGACAGGGCAGGCTGGAGGCAGAATATGTCACCTCCTGAACTTAGGTGGCCTAATTCAGAACAACTTAGACATACTCAATTAGGTGAGCAACTCACAGAGGCTCATAGAAGTTACAGCCCTTTTACTACCTGAAAGTCTGGCTGGTTTTGTACCCTATGGTTAAGTTTAAGTATCCATAATCATAGAACTGCACCTCAGTTACCAGCTATCAGTAACATGGGTGTTCACAGGGAGCCCTTGAAAGAGAAGCTGAAGTGAATGAAAGTCACCTGTTCCATAATCATACTGCCATAAACTTGCTTAAATTTGTGTTCCTGTGCTTGGCAGAAGGTGATATAAGTAGATTATTTCTCCTTCCTGTGTTTATAGTCTCCTTGGCTCCATGTTTCCGATGCCTCGAATCATTTATGCTATGGCAGAAGATGGGCTTCTGTTTAAATTTTTGGCCAAAGTCAATGAGAAGAGAAAAACTCCCTTAATTGCAACAGTGACATCAGGAGCTACTGCAGGTAGGATCCAAAGACTTGCATGAATTTGTGGAAAGGAGACATAAGCTCATCTTCAGGGCAGATAAGTCCACCTGACTCTAGCCCATTTAATTGGATATATTGCAGAACACAATGGCCTAGAGGGTGTCCTGGATTTCCAGGGCATGCCCTGGAGAGTCTGGGTGAGCATGAAAAGCTCATTGTATGCCTGTCACTCTTTTCTCAGAGCTCGTTGCTGCCATCCTGTCTCATGCCAGGAACTGCCTTTATCTGCTCCCTGGGTACTCAGCCAGCCTTAAAAGTAATTAACTCCCTGCAAGGTGGCAGCCAGTGGTGCCCCAGCATCCTTGTGGCTGTTGGCCTGTCTTGGCTGAAGACACCACACTGCCTGTGGGTAGCAGCTCTGCAAAAGATGCCAGAGCAGCCTGAGACAGGCAGATGCCCCCCCCTGGCATTTGTTAATCAGTTAGTCACAGCTGGCAGCCATCCTGTTCTCCCCTTCCTTCTCCTGGCCCCCCATAAATATGGGAATTAAAWCTGCCAGACAGCAAGGATGAGCAGCTTACCCTGTTCTTGCAGCCGCCCCTTTTCTCACGATGCCTGGCAAAGAGGAGAGCCTTGCTGCTTCCTCTTTACCTTCTGCTGCAAATGCAGGATGAGCCGTGGGTACAAGAATGTGCCACCTTTTGTGGGGAGTTGMTGCTGGACTGCTGCCCTGGGCTCTGAGTTCCTGTGGAAGGGCTCAGCTCCTGCCACTGGGACTCACAGAGCCTCCTCACAACTTCCTTCTCCAGTACCTTCCTCTTCAGGTATTCTTGGGTCCAGACCATGGTGGGATAGGGAAAAGAGCACTATAAGGTAAAAAACACAAGCTTTGCAGTCTCATCCAAATGGTCCAAAGTGCCTGTGACCAAAACCCACATGAAACTGCAGGGGCAGCACGTGCCAGCAGAGTTTGAAGGYTGGTCTGGTTGTTGTGCTCCGGGTTGTGCATTAAGGACAGGCTGGGCCAGGCTCAGCTCTGAGGTCCCTATGCTCTCATATGACTGTTGGCATCACCTGATATCTGTCTGTGTGTCTTTTATCCACTTATTTGCSTTCTGAAGCTCTATACAAAGTCCATACAACCGGGGTTACCTGGTGAGGGTGTGTAAGCAGGATAATCCCTAAGGGATGGCAGCCTTTTTCTGGAAATCCCCATGATGACATCTGTTACTTCAAGGTTCCCTCTTTGCTGCTTGGTGCCATTGCATGCACAAGCCTAGTTTCAGCCCAKCTGAGTTGAGACATCAGGCGCAAGGTGCTCTCCATCCTCTCTTCCCTATTGCTATTTCCAGGAGATAACTGTGGCTTTAAGAGTGCTGCAGCTCCGCTGGGGGATAAAAAATGAATTTGTGGCTTAAACCCCTGCTTATTGTTSGTAGTTGGGTGAACATACCTGTATGAATCAAACAGGCTGGAATTTACTGTAGTAAACATATCCTATKTTTTCAGCTAATGAGGGTGGGACAGCATGCAGCAGAGGCTTGGGATGTTCATACACCATGGCCTCTTCTCGTCTTGGGACATGTTGAGCTCCCCTGCCAGGCCTTGAGCAAGAGTCACATATGTGCTGCATTGTTATTAATGCTTCTGCGATGTGCATGTTCTGCCATGTTGCTGATTTTATTTCTCTCTCACCTTCCTYTCCTCCTACAGCTATTATGGCCTTTCTCTTTGACTTGAAAGATCTTGTGGACCTCATGTCCATTGGGACCCTCCTGGCTTATTCCTTGGTGGCAGCCTGTGTGTTGGTACTGAGGTAAGAATGTAGAGAYTTTGTCTCTTCTGTCACACAGACAGAAATCCACACAGCAGTCAGATGCCCACGTAGTTTCTGTAGGCACATCTCCAGCTACAGGCATGTGAAAAGCTTATTTCTTTAAATAAGTTGATGGGGGATTTTGTTTGCTGGATCTATAAGGAGGTCCTCTGAACTTGGTTAACCCTTGTTCCCTGCCAGTCCTGCTGCAGTCAACTCTAAATGCCCCGGGAAATATGCCAAGGGGTAGGGATGAGAGATGTGTGATCCTGCCGCTTGTCCCCACTAGGGATACAGTTTCAGGTTGTCCTCTTTTGAAATGGGATTTGAGATAAAGTCTAGTAGCAGGAAAAGAACGGACAATGTGTTTGCAGGATCAGTGCCTTAAGTGTGTGTCTTTTAGAAGTGCTGAGCTCCCACAGCTTCCCAAACCCAACTAAAAGTCAGGTCTTCAGTGCTTGGTTGGCACCTTACAGACAACAGCGCTTGACTCATGCAAACTACGCTTTGAAGATAATCTTTCTGAAAAATACATTAGTGTGTTCAGTGCCTTATTCAGAATCAGATGGAGGCTTTCACAGCAAATGCACTGAACTAAGAACAGTCTTGCAGCAGCTGAAGGGCTGTTCTGTAGTGCCACTGCTTTGTGTTTGTGCTCTCCTCCCTACCCCTTGAAAATTCTTGCCAATTTACCTTGTCCTTAATTTCCTGATTTCCCAGCCTACTCTTTTCCTCAGAGCTGGAAATGGCTTTTTAATTTGTTTTTGCAAGCTGATATACCTACTGCATGACGTTTCCCTCATCATAGGTTGGGAGAGCTGACAGCCTGTCTTGTAGTGGCCTGGGCAGCTAATTTGTCTGCCACTTGACTGCTTGATGTTGTAGCAGCTGAATTGTTTTCAAAGCTGTAAAATCCTGCCAGTAGTTTCCTGCTGTTGCTGGACCCAAGGATTTCACTGCATTTCACAATTCTCAGTGTTTTACGAATGCCTCATTGTGAGYACATCCCCACAGGAACAGTTTTAAAGTGACTTTCAAAATGGCCTAGTCCTTTAGTCAGACTAGCTGAGTCACTGACAAAACCTTCTGTAATAGAGAGCTGAGGCTGGAAGAGTGTTTTTTATTTGTGAATCTACATGGTTCTGTACCACCACACATGCTGTCCACAGATGCAACAATTATTCTTACTTCAGCTCTTCCTGTGTGGCAGCAGACTAGCTAGCAGAAGAGCCTGGGATGGAGGAGTAAGGGGCACCAGGAATGCGATAGCTGCAGAGCTGTTAGCTCCGCTACCTCCCTGCCAAAATTCAAGAGCCGGACTGCCACAGATGACACAGTGGCCTGGTAATGACCATATCTCTGTCTGTCCCTCTGCTGTTTCCTTCTCCTGTCACCCAATCACGTCTTGGTGACACAGATGACAGGGTTCATGAAAGGGAGCACTGTCCACTTCAAAACACATATGTTACAACCAAGCTCTAGGTGATAAGAACTGGCCATATTTGCTTACGTCATGATGATGTCATTCCTCAAATTTCCCCTTGGAGCAGAAGGGTATGGACCTGTTCTGGCACAAGTGTGGGCCTGTTCGGCACTACAGTGGTCTGGCATGCAGTCATGACTAGCTGTGTGGCTTTTAAATGAGTGGTACCCTCACTTAAAAGCCAAACTAACAGGCTCTTTGTGTCATATCCTAGGTACCAGCCAGAGCAGCCTAATTTGGCATACCAGATGGCTAGGTCGACAGAGGAGGCAGATAACAATGAGTCTGTGAGCACCAGTGAGTCGCAGGCTGGGATTCTGCCAGAGGAAGACGAGAAGTTTTCCTTCAAAGCCATACTGTGTTCCCCAGATTCAGATCCTTCCAAATTTTCTGGTTCAGTGGTGAACGTCTCAACCTTCATCATTGGTAAGCTCTGGGCAGTGTGTCTCTGGGGCAGTGTGTCTGGGGCAGTGAGTCAGCTGGTAGGTCTTTGTACTTACCATGGTGGGAACACTCACCTCCTTGATGTGATTTTGATGAGCTCTTGTAGTGGTCAAATTAACTGAAGATCTACAGATTAAATTTCTGACTTGAAATCCGCAGATGGGGTGTGGGGGGATGTATTTGTTATGGTTAGGGTTTTAGTGAGTTGCTGTTTTGTTTGCTAAGCTTTCAGATTCTGCTTTGCCTGTCTATGATTTGTTTTTGGGTTTTCCCTGTATCTAAAAAAAMCCCMMAAAAAMMCAGTAACCTTTGTTGTCTATTCACAGGTTTCCTTATTGTGGGTATCTGTATCCTGACTTCACTWCAGCCAAACATTCTGATAAACATTGTACAGATTATTGCTGCCATCCTTGTTGTCACTGTCATCTTCATTATACGGAAACAGCCTGAAAGCAAAACCAAACTCTCCTTTAAGGTGARTGTCCTGGCATATGTAGCTAGAAAAGATGTGTTTGGGAGGTGGTTGGAGGAGGAAGTGTGTGTTGGCCTGCATCAGAAGGGGTGACCTGGCCAAATGGACATGCATGGAATGATGTGAACTTTTCTATCGAGGAGAAGCTGGAAAGGCAGAAACTTCTGCAGAGGTGTGGCTGGAAGGGAAGGGCTGGRCCCTGCTTTTGAAAGCAGATGGTTACAGGATGAGGAGACAGACTGGAGGAAAGGGGACGATTGTAAAGGGCTGCATTGGGTTATGGATATGGAAGGAGAAAGAACTGAAGAAGTAAACTTGTGTGTGAGGATCTAAGGGGTACTCGCTAAAAGGCTCTAACAAAGTGCACTTTCATCCCCCATAAAGGCTAAAGGATGACCATTCTCTCTTTAACAGTTTAAAGTATGAGGAACTCTGTTTTCTTGCCCTCTCCACGCACACCATCCTTTCTATGTTAAACAAATGCTGGGATGGGTTTTTTATTCCAGTATAATCCTACATGTCATGCTTTATCATATTGATTTCAGGTAGTTCCCTGATTTATTTAATTAATTTTGGGTTATAATTCTATCCTCTAAACTGCTTTCATTTGGATTACTTTTCAATTAAAGGTTTTCAGTAAATTCACAAATTTTAATAACTTCATACAACCAGAGTTTTCGAAGGTAGTGTTTGCAGCTCATTTTGGGGTTATTGTAACAAAGGGGGAAACAGAAATATCCAAGAGCAGAAAACTTAAGGACTCTTATCTAGACTGTATTTTCTGAACTTGCTTCTGAGGGGATCTGTTCATCTTCATTCAGGGTATTATACCTACTTTTTCCCCCTCGGCTGCTACTCTGTCCGAGAAAAAAGAAAATTATACCTGTCACAGCTAAATCTGTTATCATAAAATCATAGAATCATTTAGGTTGGAGAAGGTCTTTAAGATCATCAAGTCCARCCATTAACCCAGCACTTCCAGGTCCACCACTAAACCGTGTCCCTCAGTGCCACATCAACACCTCTTTTAAAGAMCTCCAGGGATGATGAATCCACYACTTCCCTGGGCAGTCTGTTCCAATGTGTGACAGTCCTGTTTCTTATCTCCTTGCTGCTCTTTAGACATTTACTACCTGACTTGTGATTTTTCTCCCAAATCACTCTGGAAATCCAAGGCTGACCTGTTTGTTTCCTGGTTGTTTTTCTGTATTTTTTTAAYAGGGAATTTTTCTCCCTTCTCTAGTCTTTAGAGACCTTACCAGTCTACCAAGAACTCTCAGAGTTACTTATTTAATAGTTCAGAGATCACTTCTGCAATCTCCGGGTACATAACTTTCCCACCCTGGGAAATTTTATTTTCCTCTACTGACTTGACAAAACCGAATTTAGAAAAATATTCTTCTTTTCTTTTCTAATTTTTGTGCCCATCCCTTTTCTCTAATGATGCGAGCAGCTACTTAGCATAAAATTTTTCTGGCAAAGCTTAAATCAGGAAAGCCCCACATTTCAGACTGTTTTCGTAAATCACCTTTTCCCTTAGGAGTGAAGTTCGCTTTCCACTTAGTTCCACCATATTCAATAGAAACCTTTCTATTGTTACAATTTGCCTTATTTGATTTTATCTTTGCATACCAGTGCTATTTTTTATATTCTATTTTTGCATTTTGGCTTTACTGTCTCATTCTTTGATTCTCTGACCACTAAGGCATTCTCGGTACAGCTGTAGTCATGTCTTGCATTATTTGCTGGTTTTCTTTGCTTGGGGATAATTTGCTCTCTATTGCTTCATTACCTTGGTACCTGCTGGATGAAGTTCCTCAGGTCCCTTGCATACCTTCTCTTGGTCTTCAATAGGTGCCTATCATGATACAGTCCTTGGTTTTTACACTTYTCTCCTTTGCCCCACAAGTATTTTGAATTGCCACTAAAATTTRCCTCTTGCCTCCTTCCAGACCACTAAACAAGCTTTTAAAACAGGTGAACAGCATCATTCACATTCCTCTCCCATGGTGGGCCGATGTCCTTCTTTTGAGTTTAACCTTGCCTTTTCTCAGATCTGGGCCTGAAGAGTAGGTAACAGCCATCACTTCCCATGTACAAGGGATGTGCTGTTCTTTCCTGTTAATCATACTTGTGGACATGTAGCACATCCCTCGTTCTTTTTCAGGTACCTTTTTTGCCCTTTCTTCCTGTTGGGAGTATTTTTGTGAACRTTTACCTCATGATGCAGCTAGACGCAGGCACGTGGATCCGGTTTGCTATCTGGATGCTCCTAGGTGAGTGAAAAATRCTGTGTTCAAAGTTACTAGATTTTATTAACCATAAATTTATTGTAGCATTCTAGGGAGGGATTCTGCACTCTGATTATCCTTGGGTAGTTGCCCTGGTGACTTGACTGAAGCCATTTAGGTAGCATGTCACCTAAAAATTCAAGGGTCTTGAAGCCTTTCAAATTCAAGGGTCTTGAAGCCTTTTTGTGGCCAAAACAACAACCTGTGAACTATCTTACAGGTTTTGTTGCCAACAAGAAGCCATAGAGCATTTCTTGTTGGCTGCCTTGAGCTGCTATYCAGGTGGAGGGGCTTGTGCTTCTGGAGATAAGCTGAGCTGCGCCCCAAGATGCTCCCAGCAGGCATGGAGATAAGGCTGAATTRCCTGAAATGCTCAAATCAGGATCCCATTCGGGACTGGGATAGATTGACTTTTAAAGGCTGGTGCCTTGTGTTAGTAGCTTTTTTCCCCTAAGGAAGGTACTGGCTTTCTGCTAGAAGCTAACCATGAGGATGGCTGGACTTACACTGGTGTAACTTGTGTCAATGGGTGTGAGTAGGGSTTTCTGTTTCCTTACAGAGCTAATGGTGCCCTCTTGCTTGGCTTCCACAGGCTTTATCATCTACTTTACCTATGGAATATGGCACAGCGTGGAAGCCAGCTACGCAGCCTCAGCAGAAGTGGAGAGAAACACAGACACTGGCTCAGACAGCTGTAAATGAYTATGTCTGGCTTATGGACGAGAGAGGAATGGCTGCAGTGAAAGAAACTTTGTGGTGGACATYCTGAACCAGATTACAACTGTAATCAGTAATGCAGGAATAAGGAAGCGGAATGCAGGCCTCCTAAGCTGTGTTACTGCGGCTTGCAGTTTGTTTAGAAGAACAGTTAAAAGGGACCACAAGATAAAAAGCCACAACTCTGGCGTGCTCCCAGCAGCACTGGCAGCTCATGGGGTGCTTCCCTCTCTCCCTYTCCTGTTTTGTTTTTTTTYCCCAGTGTGTAGAAAGAGAACTGCTTCTGTGTGCAAATGCTGCTGTGAARCCAGGCCTCCCAAATGTCCTTCTTTCAGTAGCCCCGGGATTACCTCCCTGCAGATATTCTACCTGATTATACATGGAGCAGATTTTGCAKTGCTAATGTCAACCATAGACCAGATCCATCATTTACCCTATGTGAGCTGTACCCTCTGTATACGTACAAAAAAAAAAAAAAAAGGTTCTCACCAAACACTAGATTTCACCACGAATGCACCTGCAAGATTTGCATTCTTTAAAGTATCAGGTCTCATATTTTTTTGCTTTATTTGACTTTTTTTTAGCTATGTACTCACATGCTTTAAAGCACATCAGTGCTGTGAAATGTTGGGAAAGTTTGTGGTTGCTGATTGTCAGGTGAATGATCGCTCGCCAGCACACAGGTAACACCAGCAGGTGTTTCTCCTTACTGTGCACTCCACAGAGGAACTGCCATGTTTAGTCAGGAAACTATGTGGTGCAAGCGCTACAAAGGCATGAAAACAACAGATGTCTCRAAAGAGCTGTGCTACCTCGTGGCCTCAAAGATCACCAGCAGTGTGGTTGTAGGGATGGGGTGGCCAGCAGAACTGAGCCAGCTCTGACAGCAAGTGGAGCCCTATTTTCCTCTCCCCACATCAGTTTTGTGTGCTGGCTGCATGGCATTAGCAAAGGATTTGGCTGTGATACTTCGGTTTTGCATTGGTGGGTRGAGTGCATTCCTGCCCTGGGAAGGGAAGCACAGGAGGATCCTCAGAGGTGTGAGGTTCATACATGGGCAGGGCCTGCTGTCTGCTCCCTGTCCAGGGGAGACTGTGGGGGTTAGCAGGGGTTTCTCAGTACAGAGAACTTGCAGAGCTTGCAGCCCAGAAAACATTGCTAAGCTCTAGGGTCTGACTTGGTGAGGGGAGCTTTCCCTTTGGGGCTGGAGATTGTCTCCAGAGCCTGCCTGTAGTTAAAGGCGGGAAATTTGGAGTTGAGACCAGGGTCTGTGTTTGGCAGTACCTTGGTTTTGGCTGTAAGATGAATTTTTGTTTTAATTATTTCTAAAAGCTTTTCCTAGCCAAATTAATTCACTACCCTAAAAAAGCTTATTAAAGCACCCATGAAGGTGAGCCATGCCCAAGTAATGCCACTGATTTAAAGTCACGCTTCAGCTTGTACTGAAAAACAAATCATAGGATAGTGGAATGATTGGTTTGGAAGGGACATTTGAAGATTACCTGGTCCAGCTTACGTGACATCAGCCAGGACATCTTTCACTCAGTCAGCTTGCYCAAAACCTGCGCCTGACCTCAGATACTTCTGGGGTTGCAGCATCCCAAATAGTAACTGCAGAAATCCCCTTTCCTGASGTGAGTGGATGCTTTCCCAGGTGTCCTCCATACTACTGCCTCTGAACACTGACAATCTTTTAATTTGTCAGCATGGCTCTTGCTGATGAAGTGATGGGCTCTTGCACCTGTCTCCATTACATTGGAGAACTGAAGAACAGACCCTGCATGACTTGCCCGGGGTCTCTCCAGGCAAGGTCTCTCTGATGCAGCAAAAAGGGGAATCAGAGCATCTCCTGGATTACATGGCTGGATTATGGACCATGCCTCACAGGTTTCCAGGAGAGAATTTATAACCTTTCTGCCCACTGAGGAGTTTTAATCTTGGTTTGTTTCTAGTGCACTTGGGAGGCTTTTCTTGGCAGGGTTGGAATTTGTAGAAGTGAAGGCAATGTGTTCATTGCCTCCCAGGTGCACTTCAGGGTGTGTTTTGAGTGCAGCTTCCCCCACAAAATGAAGTTGGGAGCTGCTCCAGTTGCYGGATCTTGACCATCTGCCAAGCCTTTGCTCCTCATAAATATACCAAGTCTCACTCAAGCAGGGACAGATGAATATAGAAATTAAAAGCYACTAGGTTGAAGTCTACTTTGTTTAAACACTGGCAAGGTGAACATACTCCACAGCCYCCCAAAAGGTGCTGGAAATGTGGTGGGAGGGCCATAAGATGAAAACTCAGACAAGATCATAGTTTCCTCTTGTACTAAAAATATAAGGATGTTTTTCCCTACCTGGTTACCAGCTTCTGTGCAATGAAAACATGAAACTTGTGTCCTTGCCACAGCTTCACCTACATCAAGCAATCCAGGAGCCTGGTGAAAAATCTTTCAGGAGGATGTTCTCAGGCACATTCCCAAGGTGGAGTATGACCACCTTTTATTCCTTGTGGCAAAGCCCCATTTTATTCCTTGTGGCAAAGCCTGAGCAGCTCTGTGGCTCTCAGCAGGAGGGCAGGGTGTGGGGATAGGGCATGGCGTGTTGAAACTGAGTGAACTGGAACACTGGGGAATTCAGGTGTTTGCTGATGGGCTTGAACCACTGGCAGAAATGGTCCTGTTGCGACATGCTGCAGCATGACATCTTTATGGAAACACTGCAGACCACARTCCCTGTTCTGGGAGCCCCAGTCACACTGGAAGCATCCGACAAGATGAATCCATGAAAACTGATAGCATGTGAGCCACTGTCAGGTAAACCAGCTACCAGCCCTGCTGCCAGGAAGCTGATGRCTGTCCAGCATCAGTCTTTACCTTAATGGAGTAAACCTCTCATGTGGTTTTGCTTTATTTTCCATTCACCTCAGTTTCTGTATGCACAAAAACCACAGGAGGACATGCTGATCTGTATGTGTCAGCACGCAGGTGCACTGGCACACGGATTTATTATCAGGAATATATTACACTTATCTGTACATTGTAACTGAAATAATACAAACTCTTCCTGTAATCATTAGCCACATAATAAATGGGACCACAGAACTCCTGCTGCTTGGGAAACTGTACAGAGGCTYCTCAGAGTGTCCATGGGACACAACCACCATCAGTGCAGAGACATAAAATACCTGATTTTGCACTTGATAGTTTTTCCTTTCCCTCCCCCACCACCTCCCACCACCACAAGCCTTTGCCACTGTGCATCGACTGAGCCAAACTGTCTGTGCTGGCAATCGCAGGAGGTGCCATCCCAGCAGGGTCAAATGGTACCTCCCCACAATAAAAAGGAGCTTTCCATGCCTGCTGCTCGCTGCCAGCTCTCCTGCCATCCCATGGCTGATACCTGCTGCCAATACCCATCTCTGGAGCCTCTTGGGAGCAGCTGTAGGCTATTTTTATTACACCCTTCTGCACTGAGTAAAGATTAATGAAATCAAACAGCTTCTGTAAAGACAAAGGTGATAAAACTCTTTCTGTTCAGTGCTGGCTATGTTTCCTCTCCAGCCAAAGGCCATTCCATTTCAAATGGGAAAGCCCCTGCATGGGCGTGGCGTTCGGGAAGTCTCCAGCCTTGCAAAAGCAAACACTTCCYCTTGTTTGCCTTTGAACAGGTATGGCCAGGAAGCATGGGCTRGAGATGGGCCCCTACCCCACTGGGAATGCCAAGCTCACCTTGCACAGTTGCAGCTCCCTGGCAAGAGCACGGCTTAGCAGCTTGGCCATGCATCTGGGGGGTCTTCATTCCCTGGGAATGGCTGCCCCATTCAGGGGCTGCTGCCTCCCACTGTCTGAGCGACCTGGGCTTTTCTTTTGCACCTACTTTAGCACTCTGAGGCAAAGAAAGACAGGACAGAGGAAAAGTATAAAAAAGGAATAACCCTTTTTGGGGAAAAAGTCYGTGTTTCTGGGCTTGCACCAGAAAGAGCTGCCCTTCACACTCCCCTCAGGGACAGGTTGCTGGGTCCCTCTGGGTAGGCAAAATTTCCTGCAGCTTTGCTAGCAATTAGGCAAACCCCAGAGTGTGTGCCAAGGAAGAACCCAGTGAGAGGCAGGATTGGGAGGCAAAAAACAGATGGGAAAAGGATTGGCAATGATACCCAAATTATGATGGAGCTGGGTTCGGTCCCAGTTTTCCCACCATAAAAGCCCCACTCCCAATTCACTACTGGAAGCATCTCTTGAATATGACTTTAAACCAACAAAGTTATAAGGAAACCAGATATAAAGGGGAAAGATGAATCAATCTGTCCTGGGCCAATAATATGCTTTAGTGCATTTAGTGTAGTATCATGGTAATAACTCCAGTTGTATATCTCAATCACTTTTACAAAGGGTAAAAGGAGAATCCTAGAAACTACCAACACGCCACTCTGACTAATGTGATGGCCACCTTTAGTGGTGTGACTGTGCTGGTGAATGAGGGAGGAGAACTGATGTCATCTATCTGGACTCCACAAGGTCTTTGACATAGTCCCACACAACATCCTTGTCTCTGAACTGGGGAGATACGGCTTTGATGGATGGCAGCTGGATATGGAATTGGCTGGATGGTTGCATCCAGAGCAGCTCAATGTCCAAATGGCAGTCAGTGAGAAGTGGTGTCCCTCAGGGGTCAGCAYTGGGATGGGTACTGTGTAGCATCTTAAACGATGCAGCTGGTGGGATCAGGTGCATCCACAGCAAGTTTGCGGATGGCACCAAGGTGAGTGCTTCAGCTGATACACTGGAGGGAAGGGATGCCATCCAGAGGGATCTGGGCAGGCTTGAGAGGTGGGTCCATGTGAACATCATGTGGTTCAACAAGACCAAGTGCAAGGTCCTGCACCTGGGTCAGGGCAAGCCCTGGTATGAATACAAGCTGGGGGATGAAGAGATTGAGAACAGCCCTGCTGAGAAGAATTTGAAAATACTGGTGGATGAGGGGCTGGACATGAACCAGCAATGGGTGCTCAAAGCCCAGAAAGCCAATTGTGTCCTGGGCTGCATCCAAAGGAGCGTGTCCAGCAGGACCAGGGAGGGGATTCTGTCCCTCTACTCCACTCTTGTGAGACCCAACCTGGAGTGCTGCATCAAGCTCTAGGGCCCCTGATGTAAGAAGGACATGGACATCTTGGAGTGGGCCTAGAGGAGGGCCACTAAGATCCTAGAGGGCTGAAGCACCTCTTCTATGAAGACAGGCTGAGACAGTTGGAGTTGTTCACACTGGAGAAAGCTCGGGGGAGACCTTTTAGCAGCTTTCCAGAACTTAAAGGGAGCCTATGAGAAAAACGGGGAGAGACTTTTTACCAGGGCCTGCAGTGACAGGACAAGGGACAGCTGTTTTAAACTGAAAGAGGATAGATTTAGATTGGAGATAGAGAATTTTTACAATGAGAGTGGTGGGATAGTGGAGCAGGCTGCCCAGAGAAGTGGACACCCCATTCCAGGAAGTGTTCAGGGCCAGGCTGGATGGAGCTCTGAGCAACCTGATCTAGTGAAAAGTGTCCCTGCTCATAGCAGTGGGGGTTGGATTAGATGGTTGTGAAGGTCCCTTCTAACCCAAATCACCTATGATTCTGTGATCTCACTGTGTCAGAATTATATTGGTGAGATGAAAGATGACAATGCTGTAGATATTGCAAATATCTGTGCAGTTAGCAAGTATCAAGGTGATTAAAGTCATACTTGGCAAGAAGGGGCTTTGTGTGCATGTATATGCTAGGTATCTATCTTACTTTTAGGTTGTACTTGCTGGACACACTAAAATCTATCAATGCATTTCAACAGTAATAACTGGTGTGGCATGATCTATTCTAACAAGATGCTCAATTACTCAGCATCACAGTACCATGCAAAAGCTGCTACAAAAATAAATTTCTCTAAAAAGGAGAAAAAAGAATCAGTTWTTTTAACACTGTGGAACAGGCCACAGGTGTTTTGATGGTGGTTGAAGCAGTATCTAAGCTGCAGTCTGTGAATCCTGAGTACTTCCCAGGAAAGCTGAAGCACAGCTCCCACTCGAACAGGGTGGCAGGGCTGTGCAATGCCACCCTTGTGGATGCAGGGCCTGTGTGGAAAAGCCACCCGCCCCTGCAGCACTCCTGCACCCCAGGGATTTCTTCCAGAAACTGTCTCCCTGCTAACTTTGACCCCAGTGCACAGAGCAGGCCTGCATGCAGGCTCTTTGCCCTAAGCTGGGTAAAAAAGCATCCCACAGATTTTTGTTTTTTAAATWAAGCTCAGGGATATTTTTATCTTGCCAGCAATGCCCATGAGGGCCCTGCAGACAGTCCCACCCCAACTACTTCTTGGCCTCACCATCCCCTCAGATGGGAGGACACGCCAAGCCTGGGTGAACATTTCTGCTTCTGGATGGGAAAGTTAAAGGTAGTTTAGCCACTTATTTCCATGAATCTTCAAAGTGCTCTGTAAATTTGGTTAAGTTTAGCAATGTGGAATAATGCAGATATGTGGAAGGAAAGAAATTCTGACCTCATTTGCGCCCACGTACTTGGCTATGCTCTATTTGACATGTGAGGTCAAAGGAAGCTTGAGCCCTAGCGGTGCCCAGTATTCATCCAACTATTGGAAACCTCTCATCCAGCAAAGGTCAAGGATGAACAACTTATTTTCTCCTTCTTGCTTCTGGGACTTGAAATAAAACCAGATAGACAGGAACCTAAAGCCAGAGATTTTGGATTGCATCCAAACCACGAAAAGGTAAAACAAGATAAGATCTGACTAAGATTTAAAGACACTATAATTGAACCATGTTAACCAGTAACTACCAAAATTGTTAAAACCCTCAGTTTTCTCATCTCTAGCCTATCTCCACTTACAATATCAATACTAAGAGTTAAAAAGCAGTGGATGGTATGCATATATTTTCTGCTGTTCAATGGAAAAGTGATGGTTTCCAAGGCAGTACTGTCTCAGAATTTCAAAATCGCTGGTGTTCATGTTACATAGAGTACCACTTGGTGGTCACTTGGAAGGCGCTTCTACTTCTGTGTAACTTTCTTCTCGGTTGGGTATAAATACTCCTGGGAGGCTAAACAGAAATGCAKTTTGTTTAGATACAAGTCTTAGGCACGAGTTAGAAAACTGCTGACTGTAATGAAAATATATCAGCACTTAGTAGTATCCAATAATATAAAAAAATGCAATTCAGAACATCTTCAACTACATACATATGTGTGTGCATCTATATATAGGTATAAAGGTACAATACGTACATGTATATAAACACAGACACATATACAGAAATATTCACAACTTCAACTATATTTGTAACTAACCTGAAATACTGCAGCAAAAGTTCATTCTGATGAACCATTAATAGAGCATTTCCCAGCTTTTGGCTCTAACCATAGTTAAAATGTTCACACATCAAACTAAACCTTTTGCTATCCTAACTTTCTGCTGTTCTAGCTTTTATCTATCTTTTTTGCRACTCTAATCGACATGTCAGAACCAAGAGTTTCTATGTGGGACTGTAGGAGTACCCTGCCTAGTGTAAAACTATGTAGCTACTGAAYATGCTTGCAGCCATGAGCCCTGGGCACCTGTTGATGGTAGTGCTTCCTTGGATGGTGACATTTTGCACATTAGAAATGCATAAAAGGCAGGGAACCTTTGGGGCACAGCTGCCCATTCATCGCCGCAAGGTTCTGACTTTTGCTGGAGAGGAGTTCCCTGATGAGCAGCGATAAAAAGGAGTGGACGGTGCAGGTGGGAGTTTGACAGGGCTCACGGCATCTCCCTCCTGCAGCTTCCAGAGGAGCTCTTCATTAGTCCTGCTGAGCTTCTTCTTCTCCTCCACTTCTTTCTCAACGTATTCTTGAAGATTTGCATTCTCCTCTGACAATTGCCTGGAGGGAGAGGCAGGACAACATGTAAGGCACCCCAGGGCAAAGATGGTGGCATTCATGCAGCCAGGGCCAGGCAGGACACAGAGCACCCCATCCCATCCCA